AAGGAAGTGATACGGTTTGAGGTAGGTTAGTCCCAGCCCGTAAGCAGTTCTTGAGTCTGGGAAGGGACTGTGTGAAGGCTGAGCTGGCCTGGTTGGCTGGGGTGTCTCTTACCTGGGAACACCAGCCTGGCCTAGTCAAGGGGGCGCCTTGGTTCCCAACCCCACTCTCTGTACAGCAGCTGGCAATATTTGCAAATCCGGACAGGTTTGAGTGCAGACAGAACTGCTGTCTTTGGATAGATGGGCTTTTCTGCTACTCAAACTATGCAAATAAGCATATCCATTACAATGAAGGCAGATCTGCAGAGATCCTCTGACCCTGCTGATCTGTTGTGCTGCTCACCAGCTCACAGCCAGCAGCTGAACTTGATTCTCTGCATTTCATGTTCACATGCTGCTGCTGGTCACTTAGTGTGTGGGCAGCTGAGATTGTCCAACCTGGTCCCAGGAGGAACAGGAAAATCCTGTCCCGTCTCCACACATGCACACCAGGCTGGAGGGCTTCAGTGGTTACTTCAGATTTGTACTTACTTATGCAACTGTCTCTTGCAGAAAGAGAAATCAAAGGACTTCAGAAACCACGTGACTAAATACCTTGAGACGTTATTAAACTCTCAGCAGCAGGTCAGTATCCCTAGCCTGCATGCAGCCAGTCCTCCCCTTGTCTTAGTTGTGCTGGCAAGCCCCTTCTGCAGAAGGGCTTCTGCTGTCAAAACTAAGCAGTGTGAGGTTGCACCCTACATGAGCATGAGCTGCTGGGGTGGCTGTATCCTGCTCCTCTTGACCACCACAGGGTGAGGAGGGATGAACTCCCGTGGGCTGGAGCCTCTGCCTGCAGTCTGATCACAGGTGCCTAACAGGAAAGCTGCTTCGTACAAAATACAAGCTGTTGTGTCACACCCTGCTTCGTGCCTGCCTTTTTTTGGGGCTGTATACGTGACCCTGGCAGAGCTGAGCGGAGCTGCTGGTGTGCACTGTGGATGGGCTTCTCAACTCAGTCCGTAGAAAGCTTGCTTGTTTTGAGCTTGAACTGTGGTGGTAGAGTGCCTGCCAGCTCCTCACTCTCCCTTCTCTCTCTGCAGCTGGTGAAGTACTGGGAAGCATTCTTACCTGAAGCAAAGGCAATTTCCTAATTGGACCAAGCAAACGAGCGTACCTGAACTTTGCCTTTTTATACACTATACCTCTTTGTCTTTTACACATGAATGAACCCTAGTTAAACATTCTGGAGCTGGTAGAGGTTTAACCCCCCCCAAACAAGCAGCTTATAAGCCAGTAACTCTTCTAACTGTATATTTTTCATTTAGCTACATATATTTTCTTACTGAAGAGAAACTAGTTTTCTGCTTTAAGACCAGACCTGCAGTAGGTGAAGAGTGAGGGGGAGGGGGTTAATAATAAATGTATATTTTTCAGCCTGGGTTTTAGGGCTCTAATGACTATCTTACTCCTGCAGTGCCATTAAGATTATGTAATAAAACTTATATCAGGGCAAACACGCTTGTTCTATTGTTTATGGGAGCTGCCTGGGCTGGGCCAGGGAGGTGTAATGGCTGAAGGGAAGAAGCTGTGCTACAGAGTGTCTCGGGCTCCTGAAGGCCAGCAGATCCAGGCCTTGGCCACCTCAAAGGCAGTGCTGCCAGTCCAGCATGGCCCTCTCTGTTCAGCATACACTAGGCTGTGCTTAGCTGCATCTGTCCTGCCTAAGAGCTCCACGTGTGGTTGCAGAAGGAGGCAATATGCCTTGTGCTTTGAGGTGAAGTGTGCTTTTGAGAAACCCATGACCTTGGAGGCTACCTAGGCCACCTGTCTCAGCTTTTGATTAAACTTTAGCCTTCCACATTGCTTCAAGCATGAGGACAGGCTGCTCTTCCTGAGCTCAGCCAAGCTCCAAGGTAGCCCAACTCCACATGCTGTGCACTCAGTCCTGCCTCTACTGGCTGTGGGGAAAACAGGCAGTGTCCAAGGTAGCACAAACCTCGTGAAGCTACGGTACTGCTGTAGATGATCAGCTCTTGCTCCTTCAAAAGCTGTTTGCACGGTAACAGGTGGCAGCCCTCAGCTGCTGCTGCGGGTTGTTGGCTTTGGGAGCAGGGGGAAATGCAAGGTGCTTGGCTTGGAGCTCCTCTCACTGAAGAAGCTGTCTTGGCTGTGGGCTTGGCCCTGAGAGCAAGACACTTGTGTTCTTAGCAGATCTGATCAAAACTGATACTGATTTTTCTGTGAGGGCTTATTTAAAAAAAAAAAAAAAGATACTTAGCCTGTATTAACTTCCCCCTTCCCTTTCCCCTTGCCCTGATAGGGCAGAGTTTGCCTGGTATCCACAAGAAAGCTTGGTGGAGCAATGCTGGTCCAGCAATGCTGTACCTGCCTGGAGCAATGCTGCATATGCCCTCCCCAGGCTGCACTATTGCTTGTGGGCACTCCTGTCCCAACTCCAGCTGAGAGCTGCACTGCTCCTGTGTCACAGCTAACACCCTACATGGCAGGAGCGCGTCTCCTGTGTCACCCCTCCCCTGAGCAGCCCAGTATGGGCTCCTTTCTCTGCTAGGCTGAAGTGCACAAAGATAGCAGGCTTTGCTTGCCAAGTGCTTCGGTCTGCAGGAGTTGGGCGGAACTGGCTTCGTCTTGCGATAGAGAACTTCCCGTAAAACAAAGGGAGGTTAAATCTGTGCAAAGCATCTTGTGTGAGCTCGCTGTCACAGTCCTTTGGGGGCTTATAGCAGGTATGGGCTCGGGTGGGGGCATCTGTGGGAACTTTGAGTGAGAGCAGCCTGAACACTGCTCTAGGACCACTGTTTTTTAGCTCTCCCTGGCTCCTCCCCTGCTCCCTTTGCTGTGTACCAGGAGCTGGAAGAATATGGAAATGGCAAAGTAAACTCTTGCTGGCTCTGGGCAGAGATCCCTGTGCCCTTTAGCTAAGTGAAGTGCCAGTCCTGACCGAGAAACTAGCAGCTGGAAGCCCTGAGCTAAGGAGGAGAGGCCTGAACAGTGCTCTGACTTTCACCCTGCTCTTAAATGGCTTGACCACCTCTTGTCCAGTAGCTTCTCCCTGTCTGTGAGCAGAGGGCTCTGGGCAGGACTGGCTGAAAGCACAAGGCTTCGGGTCCAGTCTAACCTGACCTCTGGGGAAGTAACCTTCCCTGGATGACACTTCAGGGACTGGCCAGCCCTCTAAAGCTGCATTCACTAGCCAAAGGCGCTGGGGTACAGACCTTTTCAGGGCTGTTCAGCTTGCCTGTCTCCGTGCCCTGGGAGGAGAAGGGCTGGCAGCAGGGGCAGGACAGCAATACGGCATCAGATGGGCTTTGCCGGTTCTGCAGCAGCTCTGTGTGCAGGGGCTGGGGTGCCTGGAGGGAGCTGCGAGAGGCAAACGCTCCTGGCTGTGACCCTGCGGGGGAGGTAAAGCCAAAGGCCGGCTCCTGCGGTGCAAACTGTTGGCTGAGGCTGGGCTGTCTCGGCTCCCCCCGTCCTGAACCTTGCGCCAGACACTTTTAGCAGCATCACGTGGCTGATGTTGCCTTTGCTGGTATCATTTCTCCCTGGTGCCACAGGCTACTGTCGGTGACGCGCATGCAAAACCGCCTCCGGGACGCCGCGCAGCAGCTCGGAGCTTAACCCGGCCGCTTGGGGCTGCGCCGCCTCCCAAGCGTGCGAACGGCGGGCCGGCCGGGGGGGGGG